ATTTGATTACGGTTCTCTGGGTTTAAGAGAAAAAACTCGAGAGATGCATTGCGTAAAGCACCACATTTATTGATACTCGAAAGTGATGAATACTTTAACCATTTCAAAGGCCAATGAAGTTTATTCAAGCAGAAATTCAAACTCTTGGCAATTTAGGGAGTGTGCCAGTTAATGCTACTAACATCAACTGATCATGTTGTAAGATTAGTCGTAAAGCGTTTGATTCGTGGACTTTTGATTGTGTTTCATGTAACAATTCATGAAGTGTCGTGATATAGGGATAGCACATGCATCAGTCACATTCCAAATGGGTTCACATTCAAACGACGATCAGATATGACTGCGAAGCGATTTTCAGAGACCTTTATTCACAACATACGTAAACTATTTGATAGCTGACAAAAGGTGATACGAATGGAAGAAAAACCATTTTTCATAAAATGATCGACAGCGAAAAGAAGCAACAGACAGAATAAATGAATATTTAGCAACTAGACAGCGAACAGTTCCTCGTCAACAACTATCCTCCTCCGGATCATCTCGACTTGAAACGACCGGTTTAATGTTCGATAAGTGAAGCAATTGTTTGGGTGCCTTTGACGCAATGGTAGGATTGATCAGTGCACTCACTGCGGCAATACCAGAATTTAATTTCAGTTCACAGTTTCGTAGATCCTTGTCGAATGCTATCACGAGAACATGCAGCGGTTCGGTGAGATGCTCCCAGCCAGCATACTTCTTCAAGCGTAATTCACGTCGACGATTCTGAAATTTCTGACGACCGTTTGGTAGATAAACATTTCGAAGTTCATTAACTCTCACTGTGGCAACGATATTACGGCGCTTCCATAATTTCAGTTGCAAAATGGCAGAATTGATACGTGAATTGAATTTATAATAAAAACTGGTCGAATTAATTTGAAAATTATAATATGTTTCGAATTGAGAAAATCAGCTTGCTGAATGAAGAATGTGTGAAACGAAAAGATAAAAATGAAATAATTGAACAAAATGAAGTAAGAAAATGAAACAAAGTGGGCAGATATTGAAACCTTCAACGAGCCCTCTCCTCGTATCAGAATATGACATCCGGTCTCGGCTTCAAGTCTTCGTACGGTCTTACCTCGAGGACCCAAAATTCGACAAATGTAATTGTAACCAGTCTTCTGCGGAATTTCAACTTTTTCTTGTAATGTGATCATCTCATCTTCACTCATATAATGCCGACTGGGATAATAATTCTTAAATCAACTGCAACAATAATCTTTCGATTTATCAAAATGCACATTATTTGTTGACTAAACCGTTTGACGCACACAACAAAATTTGAATTTATTCAAATTTTCGTCTAAATTAAAGCAACTAAGAAGGAGAATAAAGGGATTCCGTCAAATTTAGATGCAACAACATGAACCTGTGGTGTTAAATATGATGGACTCAATTGATACAAGTTTCTTCTGTAGATCACTGTCCAAATTCGATCCATTTCTGTGGTAAGCAAGTATCTGGCATGCAGAAACAACAGCGGTGATGTTCGCTGAATCGCATTCAATTTTCTCATATCTCGCACCAGTTCATCCAAATATCTGAACGATTCGAAGGTTTGTTTATGACGGAACCAATTTCAATCATTCCAATTTACCGTAAATTCGATCAACATTCATACAAGTATTTCTTCCGTTTCGTTATCATATCGCTCACTACAATACTTTTATTTCAAACTATTCCACCGAATTACAGCGAGAAATTCCCTGTGATTGACATTAGTTGCGATGAGATTCATCATTAGTAACCTGAATCGCATTGCGCTAATATTTAATGTCCCACTTTCCTCACTACTATATAATCTTTAATTTCAAAGATTAACCAGAGTCAGCCAATATATCAAGAGCAATGAATCTACCTGACCGCTTCATTCTGCTCCTCGAATGCACCTGAAGTGAATGTGGGCATCGAAAAATCGCAATTGAATTGTGGTGTTCGTCTTTGAGCACTTGACGTACACCGATAATAATTATGTTCATCTCTCATCAAATCATTCATTTCGACACCACTTTCAACAAGATATATCCGTCACTCTCGGTGATAATATGGCCAAGACACCAGCACTTGATCCAATTACTGGAGCTGCGAAAGAATCGCGCTATAAGCACTCCCCGCAGCAATCCACCCAACAAATAATACACATCTACAAATGGATTACTTCCTGTTTATATAGACTTTAAAAGGCGTAACATTATTCAAATTGAATCTGTGATTCGCTAGTTACCTCATGCTTTTCGTGTTGTGCGTATACATTTATGCATATAGTTCATGCAGAATTTTTTCTAAATTCAAGCAAACAACTTAAAATTTTCAAAATTTTGAATTTATGCGAGCACATAAAATGCCAGACACAAGCATGTGTGTTTAGAGGAAATAGAAACTATTAGATGGAAAATTTAATGCATGGAAAATTTTAATGACGAGTAAATGAGTTGCACTCTCCACCGATTGTCCATCAGTTCAGGTTGATGAAGAGTTACCGGGCAAACCTGAGAGTGCAGTAACATTGAAGATGGTAACCTCTATAGAGCTGTAGTAACGTATTGACATATACCGATAGAATGTAGAGCATGAATGAGCGATTTTGCGCTTGTTGCTGAGATAGCTTTCCGAAAATAGCCATAGATGCTCGAAAAAGCTGAACTGCTAAAATAAAAGTTTTTCTGAATGCGGAGATTCAGATGAATCCAACGGTACAAAAAAATTCATATGTTACTGGGCAAACTTGAGAATACGGAAGGCTCGAAGGTGACACCCGAGATAGTATTAATAAAATGCCCACATCTCCTCAACTAGGCCAAATTGCTCAGTAAAATTTATAACATTCTGAACGTAGAGGTTCTGCTGGATCGAAGGGTGAAAAGAAATTCACATGTTTCC